AGTGAGTTCGCGAGGAAGTACGGATTAGGCTCCTCTTATTCCAAGCCATTCATGGATTGGGATAATGAGCCCGGGAAACCGGTTTAGGAGACTCGGGGAAACCCCTCGAGGTCAAACCTAGATCATCTCGTCCAGAAACCTCGTTTGGAAAAAAGAAGCTCACGAAATGAGTTCGTGGGATTCGAAAGGATTAGGCTCCTCTTGGCTCGATTAATCTTCTAGATAGATCGGGTCAACGAGCACGGGAAACCGGCCTAGGCGACTCGGGGACAAACCCCGAGGTTAAACCTAGGTAATAATCGTCCTAACGGCTTTCATTTGGAAAAAGTGGCTCATTTAATAAAAAAAAATATAATAATAAAAAAAAAGAAAAAAAAAGAAGAAAATCGGGGAGTTGGCTTATTGATCTCGTTCTTATTATTTCATGTTTTATAGATCATTTATGGTTTTTGCACGTATATGTGAATAAGGGGGTGTGACTCGAGCGATCATTTGTGGAATGACTTGGGACGGGTTTTTGCTTCGTTTGATTCATCATGTGGGGACCGTGTCTCGGATTAGATTTTGATTTTGTGATAACCGGATGATAATGAGAGTTTCATTTTGCATGTTCGTTAATTTTGGCCCGTTCGATATATCTCTTCGAACTACTTGTTGTTTTGTTTGCTTGAGGACAAGCAAAGAGTTAAGTGTGGGGGAGTTGTTTATTGTGTTTTTGTGCTTATTTTCATGTATTTTGTGTGCTTTATTTTATAGTTTTTAGGCTCGTTTTAGTGTCGATCGGTCCATTTTATCGTGTTTTGTGTATTTTTGTTATTATATAGTGTTTTCGTATTTTTGCGCGTTTTCTCTTCTGTTTTGGTGTTTTGTAGGCCTGGAAGGAAAAAAGTCATTTGTGATGTACCGTCCGAGTCGTCCGAGCCATTGTCGAGTCATTACCGTGCAAGAGATCCGAAAGCCCAGTCCGCCTAGCGAACGAGTTCGCCGCATAGCGAGTGTGCTCAAGACTCATAGGACCAATCCGCTTAGCGAACGAGTTCGCCGCCTAGCGAGTATGCACAAGACTACAAGACCAGTTCGCCTAGCGAACTAGTTCGCCTAGCGAACTAGTTCGCTACCTAGCGAGTGCTAAATTTTTAAATGTGTGTGCACCTAGTGTGTGTTTTTGTAGGAGACTATATATATGTTTTTTCCTTTGTATTTTGAAGAAGAACTCTCATTTCCCAACTTTTAAGTTGGGAATTCCTCTCTATATTCTATTTTCCCTTTTTTTTTTATGGTTTGGAGCTTTATGAATCAAGTTTTCCGGCGAACTTCCGGCGACATTGTTTTGAGCGAAGTTTCAAGCTTTTGATTCCATTTCTTCTCCCGAGTGCATGTTGGAGTGGGTAACTTAGTCTTAAGCCCCATTACCTCGTATATCTTTATTGCTTTGGTAAATTGATATTGTGCTTGTGATTTTGGAAGAAAAGATTGTTGCTTTGGATCATGAATGCTTGACTAAGTGTGATTAGGAGTTGAATACTTGCTCGTCCTGTGCTAGAGTTGGGTTTAGCTTCCTAGGGTTTTAGCTAGCATGACAATGTTCGGTTATTTGCGTGTGATTGATCATGGAGACTCCGGAAAACCAAAATCTCTCTTTCCCCCTTGATTTCTCTCATCTTCTTGCGTGCTTAGTTAATTGCTTTCAATTGCTCTCATTTCGTAGTTTAATCTAGCTTAAATTCAAACCCTCAAATTGCGAGTAGAATGTTTAGGACCTTTTCGGTTGTGTGATTTTGACGACTAGGTAGTGAACGAAGCTCCGAATAGCCTTCCTATGAGAACGACCCGAGTCGGGTACCTCGGTTACCACATGCCCAAAAATATACTACAAACAATCACCAAATATGTGTTTAACATAATTGTTATTATTGTTGTCAGTCAAAATTATAATTATTTCTTGCGATTATGTGGTTGATTTGATAGAAA